CTTGATTATGAAAGACTATATGCGGGTTGTACTTAATAGGCTGGAAATGGGGTAGTTAACCCTATCTTTCAAATTTGAAGCTTAAACCAGTATGTTCCTTCACAAAAGTTCTATATTTAATGCATTTGCATAAGAGAAAAATATAACATTATATGGTTGTAAGTTAAAAAAAACCGAAACAGAAGGAAAAAACCATATTTTTGCCATTTTTTCCTTTAACTCCCTAAAACTCGGAACCAGTAGGCTGTGGAAATTTTATGTCTTCAAAAGAGTTGTTTATTTTGTCAAGATAAACAACTTTTCCGGAGACATGAAGTCTCCAAAACGTCAGAGAAAGAAGTTAGATTGTGGCACCATCTTTGCGGAAGTATTTTGAACTATTTGTTTATGTCAATAGATGGTCTTTATTATGAAGAGAAACTTTGCCGAAGACACCAAGTCTTGGAATTCTTCGTTTCAGAGTTATTAATTTTGATCCGCTAGATTGCGTTCCTGGCCCAGTGTGTATTGATAGGAAAAAAAGTATGCCTAATAAAAAAAATATATTGGCCACACTGAAACAAATCTTTCCCCTAAAAATCTATCAAAAATTTGTGGGACCGAAGGCTTGACATACTTCAGGAACTTTGCATAATTGTTTTCCAGAGATATATAATCTAGACTACCATTTGAATAGGGCTGACAATTGTTTAACTTTTTTATTTAAAAAATTAACAAAATTATAAATCCTTCAACGTTATGATCAACGAGTGAATTGAAGACAATTTGTCAATAATTTTAGAAAAATTAAATGTCCATCCAAAACATTTAAAAAATACGTGTTTATTTTTCTTAAAAACCTCATTATTGTAAATAATAACAGTTTTTTTTTTAGAAACACATTTTAATTACACTACCGATCATAAGTTTAAGGACACCCCAAAAACCATGCAAATATGTTTTGTTCAATGATCTCTCATTTTACGTTCAATTTTCGATCTCCAAAAAATAACCTTTGGAGATCGAAAATTGAACGAATGGTATGAATGGTATAGCATAAGTGTTCTACTGCTACTTTTATTTCAAAATTTGGCCAACCAATTCTGAGAAAATCAGTCACGATTCTTCAGAGTAAATTTTGAAAAATATTGTAACTTTGGGTGAACTTTAAGCACACAAAATTTGAAAATTATATTGAACAATTTGCCTACGAGGAAAGTTCCATTCAATACCTTTCAAATGATCTAAAGAGAACAAAAATTGGACGTAACATGACAGAGATATGAACAAAACAAACAAATTTTTTTTTGGGGGTGTCCTTAAACTTATGATCGAGAGTGTATCTAGAAGTCATACATACGTTACAGGATGCGCACTCTTATAGAAAAAAAGAGATTTTCCAACAACAACTTTTGCATAAAACTTTTGCATGAGTACTTAAGGGGGTTGGATTTTGATAAGTTCTTTAGTGGGAATGACACTGATGAAGACTGCACATTGTAGTCGAAATACGTATCTGTCATGGATACCAAAATTAATTAAGTGGAATTAAATGGAAGATAACTTTTTTTGCTGTTTTATTTAGCATTCCGCTAACAACCCAATTTCAATACTTCAACTTTTACATACCTGCACATAAGAAGAGCCCCATATAAAGGCGTGCAGAAATTACATAGAAAAGCGTACTAACACAAGGTTAATAAATTTGACATAAGTTGTTGTCCTACGAATTTTGTAAATTTTAAAGCGTCCAAGGTTTTCGATATTCGAATTTTTTGCATTTTTGATGAGCTTTAAAAAAAAACAAAATACAAATATTGAACAAGGACTTTTGAAATATTTAAGTCAAGTTTTTAGGAATTTTCACTCTTAATTACGAAAATATTTGAATCGAGTATATTTTTCGCAGAAAGGCTTAATTTTTTTCTACAACATTGTCTTAGCTGTCATTTCGATCAGAAGTGATATTTTGAAGAAAGAAAAAAATAATGGCCAAAATGACCGAATTTTAGAACAAATGTGTCCATAGCAAACAATTATGCAAACTTTCATGCAAATCGGAGAAGGTCGAGTCAAAAAATTATATGTTTTGCTATTTGACCTGGAACTGCTATATAGCACAAGAAAGTTATCTTTGCAATAGGTTTTAAATAATTTTGTTTTGAAAGCTTATAACAAATGCTAACGTTTCTAATATTTTCAAAATGGACACAAATCATAAATCACGAAATTTTTCAAGTTTTAAATAAAAAAATTAAAAAAATTAAATTTACTTTCTTTTCTGCCACTTGGATGATTTTCTTTTATCAAGTTTTTTTTACAGGAAAAGCAAGGCAAATTTAAAAGATTGTTTCTTGGATAATGTTTTTTTTTTTTTAATTTAGCCTTAATACTCTCTTCTGATGTAGATTTTCACAGTTTTCATTTTTCATGGTAGTAGAAATTGCAACATCAAACATGCATGGGTTCATTTTCGCCATATTTACGCTGTCAAAACCGATGAAGATAAAACGCAATGTTAAAACTGAGTTACGATTTTGAAGTCATTTGGTTGGCTCCCTTCGAACACTATTGCACAATTGTAGTCCTTTCAAATTTGACATTGGAGCAGTTCCACGCCAAATGACGATTCGGAAAAACTCGACCTTCAATAATTTGCATGAAGCTTTGTGTAATTGTTTGTTTTGGGCAGGCTTCCAAATAGTACAGCCTTCTCGTGAATTGACTGTTGCTTTGTGTGCTTTACTACCGCTTGCTACCGTACGGTCAAATCTGAATTCGAAGTGTATTGGCAACAGCGCACGCACGAACGAATGAAAGCTGTATTAGAACAGTCACATCTATACCCGCTTTACCAAAATCATCGTGCTTGGAACGTAGTGAATCCGAATGGGCTATATTTATAAAATTTCTTTATGACCAGGTTTTCAATGTTTCTGTCGTCATGACAGTTTTAACAAAGCGACGACATCCCTAAGCTTACGCAAGTGGCTGTCACGAAAAGGCTGTCACGATCACGAGACATTATAAACGGCAGCGGAGTATGCAAGAAACCCAGAAAAATGATCCCGAACAGACATGTCGGCCCGATGTCGGATCAATGTAAGGTCAAGTTATGATCGACGTCAGCCAAATGTCGGGTCGATGTCGGGTCACTTATGTGTTTATGTCGGGTCAATGTCGGGACAAACTCGGGTTGGGGTTTGGTAGAAGTCAGGTTGGTGTCGGGTAGGCTTATATTTTTCGCCGGAATGTAGGGATGTCTGATCTGCCCAAGACCGCGCGTTTAAAAAAATATCGTATGAACATTTTGCACTGGGCAGCACGAACGCGATAGCAACCGAACGAGCTTCGGCGGCACACTGGTAGCGTAGTAGCAGTCTCACGACACATGAACAACATTTCAAAGACAGCAGCAACGAATCGGCTGTTTGACGGACTGCTTGTTGTATGTACGAGGAACGTTACGAATGACCTTCCGAGGCTATCATAGCCGAACGAACAAAATACATGCATAAGAACGAGCTGTCGTGTACTGCACAATACGGCAACGTTGCAGGTGGTATGACAGCCTCACTGTCGTAGGGAAAAGAAAGCGACAGCCGTTGGAATACTGTCATGAGGCGGTACTTTTGGTATACCTGGTTTTCGGTAATTATTCACATTTCTGCTGAAAATCGGCCAATTTTGATTCTGTAAAATTTTCAAAACGGCATTCTTGAAATTGAAAAAAAAAATGTAGCACTGGTCGAAATAACGTTTGAGACAAACCTGTATATCAAAAAAATGTTTTAGTAATTTCAAGTAAATGCTAAAAACCCAAATACCTATCTAAAATATCCTAGATTGATTATATTTTTTAAATAAGGTCACGAAAAATGCGATTTTTTGGAATGTGCAAAACTATGGACACTTTAAAATTTACAAAAATCGTAAAACGTGAACTTATGATCCAATTTTTTCAACTGATTCGATAAAATATTTTTATCTGTAATTTATACTCAGAGAACAATGTTTTAGACACTTTAAATAAAGTTCAAAAATTTGTCCAATAGTTTTTGATCTACGATTTTTATCAGTTTTCAAGTGTGCATGGGTTTCAATATTCCAATTTGAGATATTTTGGTTTTTAATATCAATTTTGAAATATTTTGGTATTTATTTATTTTTTTTATTTTGACTTTACAATGAGTAAAACACATTTTTGATAACTTTTCTCAGATAAATATACATTTTTTTCCACTTCAATTTTCTCTCTGGCTCGATCAGAAATGCCGTTTACATGCTACTTTTTCTTTAATTCATTGCGGTCATTTTGAAAATTTTATAAGATCCAAAATAATGGCCGAATTTTGGCAAAAAAAAATGTGAATCATTGCCCTCAACAAAATGACCAAAATATTAATCAATATAACCAGAATATTAATCAATTTATCGAAAAAACGATTCCATCGGTCCATCGAATCGCAACGGTTTCTTCAGTTATACGATTTGCATACATAGTTCTCATATTCTCCATTTGTTCGCCAGTACAGCAAATTTTCTTTCAGTTAGTTTCTAATTCATCACCTGTTAAAACAAATCAAATATGCCATATGCTGTTGTAAGGATGAAACAATTATCACAACCATCATGATATTTTATGATCAAGCACTATCTCACGAGCCAGCCGGCTAGCCAACCATCCAACCAAATAACCTAGATGTCTAAACTATGCGCATGTACTTTGCGAACGATCGAGCACAGTTCGGGTTGCACCTAGAGATACACGCAATGTCCGCCAGTCAGCCAATCTGCAAAATAATTAGTACGTTCGCTCTCTTACTGCCTACTACGGCCTTATTTAAAGGATTCACTGGAGGGAGTTTCATTCAAGGTGGTTGTTTTTGAATCTAACATCTATCGGTTCGGTTTTTTGTGGATGGTTGAAGGATAAAAGGAACGGAGGAAAAGGAGGACCAACAGGAGAAAGGATGAGGTAAGGTAGGGTTTCAGTTTTAAAAAAATCTGTTCATGCACACCTCAATCTTGCGTCCCTCAACCACAGTGCCGTGAAGACGTTCGCGTGCTCGCTCCGCATCGCTACTATTAGCGAATGTTACAAAACCGAATCCCTACATGCAAAAAGGACAGAACAAGAAACATGCATTAAAAACAGCGGTCCGCTCAAAAACAACGTGCAACAAAAAATATTATTCTTTCTTTTTTTGGTATAGTTTTTTTTTGTATATATATACTTTTATCAATCAGCGAGAAATGAGAAAAAATAGTAGAATACTGTACTGTCAATGTTGTTTTTTTTTTAGTTTAGGAAGGTTCAATTTAATTAGTTTTTAAGTTTGTTTACGCTGGCATTGTTTAGATTGAATTACAAATTTTACGAAAACAGAACTTGCTCCACTAGGAATAATAATCAAGACATGTCCAAATCCAGAAAGGTGTACAACTGATACTAAATATTTGTTTTTATATGACTGTACTTTACTAGTTTTGAAACAAAATGAAAAAAAGGAAAAAACTGTCTGCATCGATTCGAATAAAAATGTAACAACAAAAATCACATGTTCATCATATTCAACAGCGCATCAGTCCAAAACAAAAGAAAAGGAAAGGACAAAACAACGGAAAAAAAAATAACAACTGAAGAAAACAATAATCGAAAATAATACTCTAAGATCTGAAAAGCTTCATCATACTCGTTCGATAGGTGGTTATTGTTATAACTTGCGTAGAAGAGAGAGAGAGAAAGATAGGAATAAGTGAAAGAGAAACAGAACAATGAAAAAACGAAGAAAAAAAAAGAGCAAGGAGAGAGAGAGAGAAAGATCAAAGGAGAGCGCAAACGATAACGCCAGAAAGTGGTTGGTTAATGAGATAATCGATCTCTCGCGCGTGTTTCGGGGGAACACTTATTCAATTAATCTAGCTTTACGGAATAAACAGACTTAACAAACGGGTAAATTATACGCAATCAATCAAAATCAATCATTTCAAGAAACAGAGAAAGAGAAGAAGAGAGAGAGAGAGAGAGAGTGGGCAACAAGGAAGGGGCTTGCAGCTAACACGATTATTAACTTCTGTTATTTGCATTTCTGATTAAATATGTAACGGAGATAAATGGGGAGACACTGGAATGCTCTCGTAGAAAAAAAATTAATCCAATCAAGAAAAAACAAACGGAAAATAAAGGAGCAACAACAATTATTAAACTTCCGTTCCGAGAATGCAATGTAATTTGTAAGGAAAACAAAACACCACTTTCATAATATTGATATTTATGTGGCAGCAATCAGAAACAGAGAAAGAAAGAAAGAAAGTGAGCGAATGAAAGAGAAAGAAAGAGATAGAGCGGGTTGGGTTTACTCGATGCTAGGCGCTAAACAATCGGTCAAACTAAGATGTGATTATGGATTCTGAACTGGGGACGAAAAACTCAAGGATTTTTTTAGTAAATGAAACTAAACTAAACTATACGGAAAATCACCTTGGCTAACAATTGTTGTTAAGCGAGTAAGTAGTGTGAAGTTTGCTTGACTCTTTCTGTGCGTGTTCGTGAGAGTGTGGATGTATGTTCGCTTGGTATTAGTAAGAAAGTCTAAAACTATTCCACGGTATGCCACGCCCCTTCAGTGGATTTTGTCTCAATGCAAAGCACGCGAAATTACATCGATTTTTTTTTTATTGCTTGTATCTATCTAAAAACATTCGTGCACTTCAATTTGCAGAACACTGTTTGTAGGTATTTGTGTGTTTCATTTTATTTTCGATGGATATTCGAGTGTGTTTGTCGGGTTTTGAGTGAACAAAAAGATTGGGAGGATTTCGTTCGTTTTTGTCGGGTATGCCGGAATTATTGACTTAAGTATTGATTGATTCGCTATTGTTTTTATTTTGGAAAACTGCTGCACAGCATTTGTAGTGAATTCTATTCTCAAATTGCATTGAACAACATATATAACATAGGGTAAATGACGGCTTCAGAAATAACTTTACCTATTATCGTCAGGGAGGTTAATGAAGTTCTTGAGTGCTCGATGTTGGTCAAACGATGCTCTGAAACATGATGCACCCTCATGCTAATAATGAGCGCTCAAGGACATAATTTAACTACTTGACGATAATAGGTAAAGGTATTGCCGATGCTGTCAGCTACCCTACTCAATCTTATGCTAAATTGACCAACAAGTACCTAAAATAATAGCTTACGTAGACCCACTAAACCAATTTTAAACTTTTTTTCGATACTCTCGAGCAAGGGTTAAGCCAGGTTTTGAAAAAGAAGGAGTCAACATTTTTTTGTGATGGGCCATTATACCAAACGCCAGAAGACCGAATACTATTAGGCCAAAGGAGTCTCTAATGGCTGAAATTTTGATGACTGCTACGTCATTTGACATCAATTGGATTTACAAAAAAATAAATTCTGAAGCTTGTAGAAAATTGGTAGAAATCGAGCTTTGATTTTTTTCAAAACTATAACTTGGATCTCAGTTTAAAAAAAAACTAAAACTTGCCAACAAGATTCTACATGTAAAATTGAAATTAAATGGAAAAATGTATTCTTCGTATATTGTAATATGTTATTCTGCAATATTGCACTATAGTAATGCATTAAAATTCATCCAGAAAGCATTGCACAGTGGTTCAAGAATGGCAATTAGGAGGAAATAAACCAATAATTACAAGTTTACCAACATGGTGTCTTATGTAAAGTTTTTACTTACAATAAGGCCTTTATTTTGATGAAAGTTGCAAATAGGGTGGCCCTTCAAATGACAAAACTTAAAATTTTACTTTTCATTTCTGATTCTAAATATCAGTGTGTTAAAAGTGATTCAAGAAAATAAATAAACATATATGTACTCAATCTTTGCCCCGAAAAAAAAATAAAATTAGATTGAGACCATTGAAAACTTTCAGGAATCTTGCACAAGACTTAATTTTTAGCATTCCATCACATTGAAGAATTATGAAAATAATTTTGATGAAAATTCCATAGTGATTTTGAGAAGATGTAGAATGGAGCAGTTCCACGCCAAATGACGAATCGATAAATCACTAACTTCTCCGATTTGCATGAAACTTTGCATGATTGTCTGTTATCGGTAATCCTTCGCATTTTTGCTCAAATTTTACCATTCAGGATCTTGACATATTTTCAAAATGGTGTCTGACATTTTTCAATCAATTGTAGTGTTAAAACGTCCCTTCTGATTGAAATGACGTCTAAGACAAAGCTGTAGAGAAAGCTAAAATGTTTGTGGGAAAAATATACACGGTAAAATTCATTTAGTAAATTTTTAAAAATATGTTAAATACTCAAATATCTCAAAATGTCATTGTTTCATTTTTATAATTAAAAAAAAAACATGAAAAGCAAACATTGACACATAAAAATTGACAAAATTCTTAGAACAAGAACTTTTGGTCAAATTTTGAACTTTTTGTTACAACGATTTTTGATTTAATTCTACACAGTAAACTATATTTAAAACATTCAAATATTTTCTGTTAAAAAATAACTTAATTTTTAAAGCCAAAATTTATCTTTATTTATCGTTCTAACAAACGTTTAAACATTTGACCAAAAGTTGTTTCTACAATTTTTGTCAATTTTCATGTGTCCATGATTTCTAGAAGTTTGCATTTTCAAGAACTTTTATTAAAAAAATAAATGAAAATTAAACAAGGACATTTTGAGATATTTAAGTATTTAATATTTTTTTGAAATTTTTACTCACTAGAGGAAATGGCTATGGATCTATTGAGATCTGGATCTGAAATGGTTGACCTACGGGCCCAATCCATTGCTAAAAATCTGCTATTTATCAATTTTATCTAGATGAACGCGTACTAATGGATATTTTTGGTCGCTATTGAAAATTTAGTCGATTGCTGAATTTATGTATGGGCCAAAATTAGGGGCATTTAGGCCAACATTACATCCATTTCCTCTATAATTAAAAAAAAAAATATATATAGTGCATTTTTTCACAGATACTCTTTATTTTTCGCTACAACTTTGTCTCAGACGTCATTGCGATCCGAAGTGACGCTTTCTTGCTATAATTTATGAAAAAATATCAGACGTCATTTGAAGTTTTTTTTTATTATATCCAAAATGGCCAAATTTGAGCAAAAATGTGATTAATTGCCCAGAACAAACAACTATGCACAGTTTTATGCAAAACGGAGAAGGTCGAGTCGCAATTTCATGTTTTTGCTATGCTATCCTCAATGAAGAAATTTTAGAAGAATTCCCAGGTAGTTCTGGGAAGAACTCCAAGCGAGTACTGACTAGAACCCCTAGTGTAAGAAATATTTCAAGGCGATTGTAAGAAAAACTACAATTTTAAGGAGAGTTTTGAGGAGGATTCTACGATGATTGCGAGGAAGATTATAGAGATGAGTATAATTAATTAGCACACTGAGTACACCCCTGATCCCGATTGTTTCATTGGTACCAGCAGACAGTGTTGTCAGATCTACGGAATCGAAAGAATTTTGCGGCAAAATCAACGCAATTAATGTGTTTTCTACGGGATTCTACGGATGTTAGTTTATTCCTACGGAATACCTTCCTCAACCCGGATGGCGCCTTCCAAAATTCACATCCCCTGCTCATCATTTCAATCATCAAAGTTATGACATCTACAGAATCGACCTCAAAGAAATCTGGCATCACTGGTACCAGATGCAGGAACTAAATTGAGCGTGCGATCGTTGAATATCGACACCGCATTTCATAAACTTGTTAACAAACAAGCGAAACGGTACAGAGTAATTGAGGCTTGACTCCACAGATTTTAGGTCCACATCCAAGTATTTTGAATAATTTGTGAGAAGAATTTTAAGTGAATTCTGAAGCTAATTTCAGGGAAACTCCAAAAGAAACCTGGGATGAATTCTGTGCACAATTCCAAACGAATACTGAACAGAGATCCAAGAGAATTCAGAGTTGTTGGTAAAATTCTAAAGGTATTCTGGGAAGACTTTCAACAGTCTGTTCGCTTTCAGCTGTAGAAGCAGCAGCAGTTGTATCTCTCATCATCGACAGTTTGCTTACTTGATCAAGTGATTGTTTTATTTTCCTGCAGTAATGGTAATGAGCAGT